ATATACTATACATATAGTATACATATACTAACCAGGCATACCAGGGAGGAACTGGGCCACAGGACCTAAGCAATGTGGATGCTTTGTGTTTTCTATTTGAAAATGTGTTTCCTTGTTGGGCATGTGCCTTTTCCAAGGGTTAGAAACACATGAAAGATGCTTCCTTCCAGATAAGCTTTCTCATTTAACTCTCTATGCCAAATTTTACCTTGTTTCTTTTCAAAATTAGTTAAAATCCTACCCTATCAAGGGACTTCCTATGTTGACCTTGGACCTGACTCTGTCCATGTCCCACTCACTGCCCCTCGGCACTTAAGTATTTAGTTTGCAGAGAACAAAATTTCCTGACTGTGGCAGTGAAAGGTGTGTGTTGTACCCCCACCCCATCACCTGTGAGCTGCTGGGCTGCTGGGAGCCTCAGCATTCTGTCCTTGTGTCTGCTGGGAGCCTCAGCATTCTGTCCTTGTGTCTGCTGGGAGCCTCAGCATTCTGTCCTTCTGTCTGTCTGCAGGGAGCCTCGGCATTCTGTCCTTGTGTCTGCTGGGAGCCTCGGCATTCTGTCCTTGTGTCTGCTGGGAGTCTCGGCATTCTGTCCTTCTGTCTGTCTTCAGGGAGCCTCGGCATTCTGTCCGTGTGTCTGCTGGCCCTGGTGATCTCTGTCAAGGCTGGTCTGTGGGCCCCTTTGCACTCCCCTAGCCTCCTACCTGTGGATTGTCCTGGTTGTTTGGCTCTGCGGATATCATGTGCTCTGGGAACTTCTCTCTTCCCTTGTCTTGCTCCTCTGCTCGCCTTGCCCTGTTATTGGTCAGGAAATCATGAGGCTCCATGCTTTCAGGGTCCATCTTGGCGGGAGTAGGTGAGACAATATCTCTCTCTCTCTCTCTCTCTCTCCCCCCCCCATTTTACTCTCTCTTTTATTCCTTTAAATGTCTCGAATCTCCTTTCCAGCTAGGACCCTTCCTTCCCTCCCTCCCTCCCTCCCTCCCTCCCTCCCTCCTTCCCTCCTTCCATAGCAGTGCCGGGGAGAGATCTCACAGAGCCTCAGTCCTCCAAGTTCTCCTCCCTCCTCCCTCCCTGCAGTCAGTCTCTGCCTACCAATGATCTCTGTTGTCTTTCCAGAAGGCGGCTGGCACCTCCATTGGGAAGTGTGCATTTCCAGTGCTTTCATGTCTTTATAGCTGGCTTCCTGCTTTCTAACCTTCTCCCCAGATGTCTTTCTTCTTTGTCCAGAAGGAAGGAGGTGAGGAAGAGATTGAGAACAGTCTCTTCCAAGATGACATGGGCAGCACAGGGAGAGTGGAGCCACTGAAGACCCTCCTTGCTGTAGACAGGAGGCATGCCCACACCCCCAAACACACTTGTTTGCAGCGCTGTCCTCTATCCCTGGTGGCCTGGGCTCTTGCTTTCTTGGCCGCTGTGTCTTCATTTCTCCTGTCCCTTACATCATACCTGGTCCCTTTCCTTCTGCTCCCTCCCTGCTAGGCTTTTTAGTGTCCCATTGGATGCACATGTGAGCTCTGTCTGTCTGTCTCTGCTCTGCTCAACAGGCACCACTGAACTCCATTGCACACATAGATAGAGAGGGAACGACCGGCCAAACACGGGTGTCAGCTCTCACTTCTTTTATCCTTCTGTTTGTGTGTGTGTGTGTGCTTGTGTGTGTGTGCTTGTGTGTGTGTGTGTGCTTGTGTGTGTGTGCTTGCGTGTGTGGCAGTGTGTTCTTTGATGCATGTGCATGGGAGCAGAGCACAGCAGTCAATATCATGTGTCTGACTCATTCTCCACTTTACTTTTAGAGGCAGGGTTTCTCACTGAACCCAAGTTCACTGTATTCTGCTAGAGTGGCTGGCCAGCAAGCTCCAGAGATCCTCCCATCTTTGCCACACCTAAAAGCAGTGCTGGGCTACAGGCATGGGCCACGGCGCCTGCCTTTCCATGTGTGCTGGGCATCTGGACTCAGGTCTTCATGCTTGAATGCGAGCATTCTACCTGCAGAGCCTCTGACCCATCTCGAGCCCTGCAGGTCTCTACGGTTGTGTTCCTAATGGAGGCAGGAGGGAAAGTCTGTTTCCTTGCACTGCTCAGCTCTTCAAGGGCACCTGTATGTCACCTACCTCTCATTCCTGGAAAAGTGATTGTAGTCTCCTCCCATCCTTACACACACACACACACACACACACACACACACACACACACACACACACACACGTATACGCACATATCTATGTATATCACACTATCCATGTTAGTCTCTGTCTGTTTTCCTTTGTTACTTGGTGTGTCCTGTAGGGTTCTTTTGTCGTCCACAGACTGTAAGACTCATGTGCTTTTTGAATCATCCGGCACCGCAGAGGGCAGTGCCCTAGTTTATTGAACTATTCTTCACCACAGATGGAAAGTCAGTTGTCCCCAAGGTTTTGTTGTACAGCCAACGCACAGAGAATCAGCATACACACTGGTAATGAGTTGGAGATGCTAGAAGAATGGCCAAAGGGTGAGATGTGGGTAATCCTGTTAGATTTCCCTGTAGCGGCTCCCTTCTGCGTGCCCATCATTGAGCTGGGACAAGTCCCCTAAGGCAGTGGTTCTCAACCTGTGGGCTGCGACCCCTTTGGGACAGTCGCATATTGGATATCCTGCATATAAGATATTTACATTACAACTTACAAAAGTAGCAAAATTATAGTTATGAAGTAGCGAGGAAATTATTTATGGTGGGGGGGGGGGTCACCACAACACGAGGAACCGTATTAAAGGGTTACAGCGTTAGGAAGGTTGAGAACCACTGCCCTAAAGCCTCCCTGAGAGGGATCAGAAAGCCTCAGACATTGAAAACTCACCTAATAGAGATATCCAGTATCTCTCTGGGCTTCCTTTGCCCTGCTCATGGTGGTCTTTTAGGGTGCAGTGGGGACACATGAATGGAGCCCATAGCGACCCATCTGAGCACGTGGCCCACACCCTCCCCCTGCCTCTAAGAGGCAGCATGCAATGATAGAAAGGGAAGGGTTTGTTGTTCGCCTCTGTGGGGCTCTGGAACTACTAGGCAGGAGCCAGACAAGACTCTCCACACAAGGTCGTGTGTCCCATTGTAGCTGAAATGTGGAGGCATGGAGTAGACCTTTTCAAGGCTCTGGTGCCTGATGCGGCTGCTGCTTTTGTACCTGTATATCTCTGGAAGCCCTGGAAGAAATCGAACGGCTGGAGCAAGAATCCTGCAGAGTTCTCTTGTGTCGCCATGTTGGGGCCATCCTCAGATTGGGGGTTGTGTGAGAGGTCCACGGTCACCCAGGCCACCAAGTCCTGTGGCAGAAACATGGGTCTCAGTGGGCAGGCCAGTGCCAAAGACTGGTTACCCAAGGATCCTTGGGTTTGGGGTGGTTTTTAGATATGTCTTTAAACTTCCCAAGATTTGCTCTGCCTATTTAAAAGATGTGGGCCCATCTGTCCTGACCTCTGAACTTGCCCTCTGCACTACCAGCCACCATCCTGGGACTAAGGAAAGCTCCAGTCACTGATTAGTGACAAGACCCAAGGTGGGCAAAGGGGACTGGATCAGTACCTCATCTTTAATGTTTTCATTGTTGTGAACAAAGTCCTCAAAGACCATAGGGTAAGCCCAGTGGTGGTTCTGGTTGTACAGGCTGCTGTGGAATCGCTCGGCTTCCTGGTACTTGGTCACCGCCAGCTGGTACCTGCGGGCAGAGAGAAATCCAAGGGGCTCCAGAAATGGGGCCACCTCTGATCCCCTCCACGGAAACACTCTCAGGGCCAAGGATAGGGAAATTGCTGCTGCCCCAGAAAAAGGGATCGTCTCCCAGGAACCTGCGAGACTGCCCATCTCCTGCTGTCAGCTAGGATTCCTGTGAGCTCCCCTCTCCCTCCTGCACTGCGTTAGGAGGCAGACCCAGAGGCCAGCACACACTCAGTCCCTGAGGGAGCTCTGGCCTTCCTCACCAGTTTGCCTGAGTCGCCTCACCTGGGCCATGTGAAAGCTGGTGAGCTCTGCCAGCCTGGGGGCAGCATTTGCTCAGGCACAGAGGGGACCTGCAGGCGGTAGCTCCGACTGTGACCTAGCACACTTTCCCCAGCATTGCTAAAAAGCAGGTACTTGGGCAGAGTCTGTCTGAAGTGGAAGGCGGCCTGGCGCTCCCAGAAGTGCTGAGTCTTGTCAAGTATGGGCTTGACCTGCTGGCTTCTCCGGGTCCAGGGACTGGTGATGCTTTCCACTCTCGTCCTCAGTGTCTGGAATCTGTTCTTGGTACCTGCATCATGAGAGGAGGATGAGAATCAAGGGCTGGAACAGAAACGTCCTCCTGTTTGGTATGTTCTCCCTGCTAGTCCATAGGAAGAAGATGGGCTGGGGGCAGGCACTGGGTTAGCACTGTAGGAAGAAGGGAGGCCAAGCCCTCATAACGGAGAAGCTAGAGGACAGCTCCTGGGTCCGTCACGGCAACTGGGACAGAAGGGTGACCATAGCCTGTTTTCGAGAGCTCCAGTCTGCTTCCTGGGGTCTTAACCTTGTAGACATAGTAGCCTGTGTTTCTTCAGACATGAGGACTGTTGGTGTACTCTGAGGGCCAGGTAGGACTAAGAGGGTGGCATCTAAGCATCTGGGCTGGTAGCCATGTTGGGGACATTGTTCTGTTATAGGATTTGAAGTCAAGTATCAGAGCTATGCCATGCCTCTGTAGTGATATCACTTACCCAAGAAACACTGAGCACTCGGATGACACTGTAGTCATCTCTCAGTACTGGAAAGTAGCATTTCTTACCCTTCATGGCACTCCTCTCCCCCAGCCCTGTCCACCACTCCACTGAGACCCAACAAGAGGAATGCACACCCCACATTTAGGGGCACAACAATGTTTCCTTATGTGTGGTGGTGTAAAAAAGGCTGATTTTTTTTTTTTTTAAATCAGGGAGTCTTAGCCCTGTCTCTTGTTAGGAAGTTACTGGAAATATGAAGTGAGTACCTGAGAGGGTCTGGTCTCAGGTCCTACCTGCCACATCCAGGTCAATTCGGTAATGCGCGAGGTGGGAGTGGACGTTTCCAAGTAGGTGGCTGTGCAGGTGAGTGCTGTGGACCAGCCCTTCTGAGGTGTAGAAAGTGGCATGGACATAATCACTGGCATACATCTTGCCTTCCATCACGCCATTGGGGTGGAATATGAAGTCCCAGATGTAATCATGATTGTGGATTGTCGATGTTGTCCTCAGAACCAGCATGGGTCCATTCAGCCTGGCATGGGAACTGAAGCTATTTCTGAAGTTGGAGTTGAAGTGCCGCCTAAGGGGGACTCCTTTGGGCACTTCAAAGATACAGAGGGCTCGTTGATAGAGGACAGGGCCGTCACTGTCATAGTAGTGGCTGGCATCCAGGAAGGTGGCTGTGTCGGGACAGTCAATGCCTGGAGTTAACTGGTGAGTGATACCTCCTAGGCCCCAGCCCACATCCACGTACTTGGTCTCCCTGCCTTCAGCTGCGTGTCCTCTATACAGTGCCATAACCTCTTGTACACCAATCTCATAGGCGATCCGCTCACCCCCGAAGTACACATTAAAGAGCTGAAGCCCATAAGAAGAGTGCAGCTTGAAGAAGAAGCTCCAGTCCCCGTAGATCACAGTGTTGTGTTTTAGGCTATACGGGGGAACGCTGGGCTGGAGCACTCGAGGGCCACCCTTGCTGATGGGTATTTGGAATTCAGCACTGGACTGGAGCACTCGAGGACCACCCTTGCTGATGGGTATTTGGAATTCAGCACTGG